GACTGAGCCACCCAGGCACCCCCCACTTGTGCTTTCTCACTTGCTCTCAAATAAATGAACAAAATCTTTAAAAAAAAAAAGTGTGTTCCAAATATTATGTAATGTAAATCTAGCAACTTTCAAATTGATGAGGTACAGAGAGCATTTTATCCAAGTGAGAATATTCAGATAATTCATATTTATTTTTTTAAAGATTTATTTATTTATTTGAGAGAAAGTCAGAGTGCACAAATGGGGGAGGGGCAGAGGGAGAGGGAGAGAAAGAACCCTCAAGCAGACTCTCCACTGAGAGAAACCTCAGGGCTCAATCCCACGACCCTGGGTTCATGACCTGAGCTGAAATCAAGAACCAGATGCTCAACAGACTGAGCCACCCAGGCGCCCCTCAAAGATAATTCATATTTAAAATGCTGACAAGCCTCTATGGAATCCTAATACTTGTGTATTAGGTAGGATCTGGTAACATAAACAGGAAAACATAGCACCAAACTTTGATGAACTCACCTGATTTAGAGTTCTGAAAATATGATTGGTCATAATAATCAATGACTCAAAAATTTTTTGTTAATTTTTTATTGTGCCCAAAATATCAGTACTAGATATACAGGTACATTTCCTCATGGAGACTGTATACAATAATGTCTATACCAAGTGTAGCTAGGTAATTTTTTTTAAAACATTTTTTTTTTAAAGATTTTATTTATTTATTTGAGAGAGAGAGAATGAGAGAGAGCACATGAGAGGGGGGAGGGTCAGAGGGAGAAGCAGACTCCCTGCCGAGCAGGGAGCCCGATGCGGGACTCGATCCCGGGACTCCAGGATCATGACCTGAGCCGAAGGCAGTCGCTTAACCAACTGAGCCACCCAGGCGTCCCTAGCTAGGTAATTTTAAACCTTATAAGCTTGAGGGGCACCTGGGTGGCTCAGTCATTGGGCGTCTGCCTTCGGCTCAAGGGGTCCTAGGATCGAGCCCCGCGTCGGGCTCTCTGCTCGGCAGGAAGCCTGCTTCTCCCTTTCCAGCTCCCCCTGCTTGTGTTCCCTCTCTCGCTGTGTCTCTCTCTGTCAAATAAATAAATAAAATCTTAAAAAAAAAAAGAAACCTCCCTTAAAAAAAAAAAACCTTATAAGCTTGAAAATAAACTTTACCAAATTTTGGTTACAGAATAGAATAAGAAGTTATTTCTAATTGGAAAATGTGGATAAAATGACATTATTGAATAATTTGTACTCCAAAAGTAAAGATAGGAGAGACATGTCATTAAACAAGAAAATCATCCAAGGTGCACATAGGAGCAATCTTTGTATATGGCATAAAGGGGACAATGGTCAAATTTTAAGTGACTAAGCTTTGAGGGAGATTTCAGAGGACTCTTTAAACCTAAAATCTAAACTAATAAATTGATCCAGGGTGGGGTTGAGGGAGTTATTGACTTTAGTTAAATATTTCCTCTTGAGTACAGCCTAAAGAGAAGCTCCCTGACTTTCTCTGAGGGATTTACAGGGAAGTATAGTCTTCATCTGACTGATTACCTTGGGGTTCATAGAGTTGCCCTAACTCCCTGCCCTGGGAGGTCATGCAAATAAAGCAAATTGTGCAGTCCTGGAATTTCTGAGTTCAAAGTTTTTCTGTAGAGTGAAGCAACCCTTATTTTATAAAAGCACTATTTTTGCCGATTGTTGGACAAATTTCTGCAGTTTACACTTGATTTTGTATTTAAACACTTGGACAAAATATATTTCCTAGAGTAGAAATTTTTTCCCAGCTTTATTGAGAGATTATTGACATTAGAGTACAATTGTATCCAACAAAAAGAGAAAGTGTACTGCAATAGAAAGAGTACTGATCTAAGATTAAAGAAAGAGCTGTCCCTGCTCCTGGCATTTCCTATACTTAATGGGAACGTACTCTAACTCCTGAGTCTCGGTTTCAACTTTTAGTAGATGCATGTAGTAATACCCATCTTGGCCACCTCACCTGATTATTTGTTCAACTGATATCTATTGACAGACTTAAAAGAGTTCTATGGAAAATTGAACGGTGCTATAGAAATATATTATAAAAATTCAGTAAAATCTTCATTCATTCATCAGGAGTCTCTAGTCTTCAGTAGGCAACCATTAGATAATTAAGAAAGTTTCGACTACTGTTTATTTATTTTTAAAGATTTTGTTTATTTATTTGACAGAGAGAGACACAGTGAGAGAGGGAACACAAGCAGGGGGAGTGGGAGAGGGAGAAGCAGTCTCTCCGCTGAGCAGGAAGCCTGATGCTGGGCTTGATCCCAGGACCCTGGGATTATGACCCAAGCCGAAGGCAGACGCCCGACAACTGAGCCACCCAGGCGCCCCATCAACTACTGTTTAATTTAGATGATGAATTTTATTCAAGATTTATTTGACATATTACCATAATTCCTTCTGCTGTCCCCACTTTTCCATTTTACCGTGGGTGTGGGTGCATCCTGGGTCAAAAACTTAATCTCATTTAAAAGATACAAAAAATCAGAATAATTTTGCTGAACTCATGCCAATGTTTGATAAGGTGGCTCAGTCATTTCATCCAGTCTGCCACTAAGTCATGCCACTGGCTATCATGTCAGACACTGGTGGGGACTTTTATATTTTTATATCCAGGCTCTCTTGCAGCAGTGAATGAGGAGTTAGCATACCTGAGTTCCAGTACTGAAGTCTATCCTTTTTTTCTTGATGGCATTACATTTTCTTTCTTTTTTTTTTTTTAAATATTTTATTTATTTGACAGAGAGAGATAGCGAGAGCAGGAACACAAGCAGGGGGAGTGGGAGAGGGAGAAGCAGGCCTCCCGCCGAGCAGGGAGCCCGATGCGGGACTCGATCCCGGGACTCCGGGATCATGACCTGAGCCGAAGGCAGACGCTTAACGACTGAGCCACCCAGGCGCCCGGCATTACATTTTCTTCCATGGTTAATTAAAAAGTTGACCTTTTTCATTTTTAGCCAGTGTTTATGGACTCAAACATTTAGGTAAAAAATTTTCTTTTTGGTACCCATGTGACCCAAAGCAACAAGAACATTTTCAGGGAGTGATTTTGAGAGTAGATTCTTCTGCCTACATTCAGGGTGTTTTCTGGCCCCTATTTTACTGGCTGATCTTCCCATCTTTTTTTTTTTTTTTAAGATTTTATTTATTTACTTATCAGAGAGAGAGAGCACAAGCTGGGGGAGGGCAGGCAGAGGGAGAAGCAGGCTCCCTGCTGAGCAAGGAGCCCGATGCAAGACTCAATCCCAGGAGTCTGGGATCATGACCTGAGCCTAAGGCAGACACTTAATTGACTAAGCCACCCAGGTGTCCCTGATCTTCCCATCTTTGCATATACATATCCTAGTCTTCGTGATCCAACTCAAAATCCCTACTTTTATAAAGCTTTTCCTTAACACTCCCAACCTCCTTTAGAACCTTTGCAGTGCTCTATATCATTCTTATGACATTTATCATCTTATATCTTGTGGTATGAATATTTTCTCTAGATCTTGGTTGATGGCCTTATGGGAAAGGACACTATTTCACAGAGGAGGGCCTTAAATTCTCATATAGATAAATTTGATGAAGAGAAGAATGAAGAATTTTGGATAAGTCATTTAACTTCTTGGTGCCTTAGTTTCCTCACATACACAATCCTATTTCAGATGATTGTTGTGGAGATGGAATGAGCTAATGTGTGCAAAGTTCTGAAAAGTAAAAAATGAAGGGCAGATATTATTTATTTTCTTGCTCATGAATACTATATTCTACTTGTTCATAATTATAATCTTCTGTGTGAAGATAAAAGGCTAAATGATTCCAGAAAAGCCACAGATGATCCCAAGAGTTGATGAGTTTTCAGGTTAAGATTTTAAACAGAGTGGAGAGAGGAAGTGCTACACTATACGAGAGCTGTGCTTTGGTGTTAAGACAATTTGAATCTCGTTTTTGGCACTTGCTGGACTAGCTTTGTTACCTCGAGTAAGTTATTTAACTTCTGTGACTCTGAGTTTCCTTATCTGTAAAATAGGGAAGAGGATATCGTGTTCTGTAGAGTAGTATGAGAATTAGAGATAATGCTTATAGTATACTCTGTGGAAGTGGGAAGCATTGTTAATACTTAAGGACTTGGGTTGAAATGTCCCCACATTCGCCCTTTGTCCTGTTGACAATATTTTCATCCTGGTAGTTGAAAGAGTTGTTATAAAATATGCAAAATTAGTTTTGTGCCGGAGCCTGGGAGTATTTGTTCAATGAGTTATCGATAAAGTTTTGAATAAAAAAAAAAATTCTACCGCCGTTTCAATAAAGCTTTGCTCAAATGGAGAGCGGGGAGCTTATCGCGAGAATCTGGCGGAACGCGTTTCTTGTTCAGGATCTAGTCTCGCGTTGTTTGAGCAAGCCGTGGTGAGAGGTGAAAGGGAAGCACGAAATACCGCGAGAGTCCACAGGATTCTCGCGGTATTTCCTGGAATTGCCCCCTCCCCCCCTCAAGTGCCGTTTCGGTTTAACCTAGTGTGTGACTGAGTCTGTGTGAGGGAGCGAGTGAGTGTGTGAGGTATTGAGGTGAGGGGGAGGCAAGAAGAGGGGCTCCCTCAGGAGCGAGGGACAAAGGGGGCGTGAGGCACCTAGGCCGCGGGACCCCAGCGACAGGAAGCCGCCCCGAGCCGGGCTACCGGGTAGGGGAAGGGCCCGCGCAGTCTTCACAGGGCCCCAGAGCCGGAGTCGGCCCCACAGCCCGGGGCCGTCGGCTTCCTACTTCCTCGACCTCCCCGGCGCCCGGGCCTGAGGATTGGCTCGGCGGGGGGAGGAGGGGAAACAGACTTGAGCAGCTACCCGTTGTCTCGCAACTCCACTGCTGAAGAACTCTCATTTCTTTTCTGGCTCCTTCACCCCCCACCTCATGTAGGAGGGTGCTGAGGAGTCGGGAGGGAGGAGGGGCCTGGGCTACCGTCCCTTTCCTCCCCACCCCCTTCTAGGGGCGCTTTGGTAGGCGTGGGGTTGGGGGGGAGGGTGGGGGTTACTTTTTGCAGTGCTGGGGAACTTTTTCCCCTTTTTGAGGCCAGGCGAAAGGGAATGCCCAATCCAGAGAGACATGGGGGCAAGAAGGACGGGAGTGGAGGAGCTTCTGGAACTTTGCAGCCGTCATCGGGAGGTGGCAGCTCCAACAGCAGAGAGCGTCACCGCTTGGTGTCGAAGCACAAGCGGCATAAATCCAAGCACTCCAAAGACATGGGGTTGGTGACCCCCGAAGCAGCACCTTTGGGTACAATTATCAAACCTTTGGTGGAGTATGATGACATCAGCTCTGATTCAGATACCTTCTCTGACGATATGGCCTTCAAACTAGACAGGAGGGAGAATGATGAACGTCGTGGAACTGATCGGAGTGACCGCCTGCACAAACATCGTCACCACCAGCACAGACGTTCCCGGGACTTACTAAAAACTAAACAAACAGAAAAAGAAAAAAACCAGGAAGTCTCCAGCAAATCGGGATCGATGAAGGACCGAGTATCAGGAAGTTCAAAGCGTTCAAATGAGGAGAATGAGGACTATGGGAAGGCACAGATATCCAAAAGCAGCAGCAACAAGGAATCCAGGTCATCCAAACTCCATAAGGAGAAGACCCGGAAAGAACGTGAGTTGAAGTCTGGGCACAAAGACCGGAGTAAAAGTCATCGGAAAAGGGAAACACCCAAAAGCTACAAAACAATGGACAGCCCCAAACGGAGATCCAGGAGTCCCCATAGGAAATGGTCTGACAGCCCCAAGCAAGATGATAGCCCCTCAGGAGCTTCTTATGGCCAAGATTATGACCTTAGTCCCCCAAGATCTCACACCTCTAGCAATTATGACTCCTACAAGAAGAGTCCTGGAAGTACCTCAAGAAGGCAGTCAATTAGCCCGCCTTACAAGGAGCCTTCGGCCTACCAGTCCAGCACCCGGTCACCCAGTCCCTACAGTAGACGACAAAGATCTGTGAGTCCCTATAGTCGGAGACGTTCTTCCAGCTATGAAAGGAGTGGCTCTTACAGTGGGAGATCACCCAGTCCCTATGGTCGAAGACGGTCCAGCAGCCCTTTCATGAGCAAACGGTCTCTGAGTCGGAGTCCACTCCCCAGGTGAGCTATTTGTCTAACAGCCCTTTCTTACTTAGGCTGGGTCATGAGGAACTGGCAGTTAGTCATGTTCACGTTTGGTTGAAGCCCCCAGTCTTCCTTATTGACTAGAACACTTAGTTATTGGTTAGTTGGACCCAAGTAGGTGAATCTGGTCTTCTCTTAACCCAGAATTTGAGAAGTGGAGAGTTCACATGCCTAAAACTGCTAAAGGTAGGTACTTCCAGGGGTGAAATCTTCAGTTGTAAGCTCCTGCTTATTGAGTACACAGAGTTGATAACTGAGCTTATCCCAGAGCTTATCTAGCAATTTCTGTTGCATTGTCTTAAATCACCTTGGTGTTCGTGCTTTAGACCTCACTGGACCTGACTGGCGATGTAAGAAATTATAAATTTTCATTCGTATTATCTTGAAGCTATTTGCCTAGGTCATCTATCATTTGTGCGTGTGCTGTCCACTGAGTCTCCAAAGCTGTAAGTTTATTTCTTAATTCCTGTCTTTAAACTGATGTTTTAGTGGAAATTCAGCTGTTTAGTCCTTTTTCCTTTTGTTGATACATAGCTTAGCAGAAGTTGGTTCCAAGGATAATTTGATTTTCTTTACAGCATCACCATTGACCTACCCTGTGATCAAAATTTTTCTCTAAAAAAATGGTAATAGTACCTTTACCATATTTTAGCAAGAAAGGCATGTTAGTTTGAAATTTAATCATTAAAATGAATTAGTACTGAAAACTGTTTTTATTTCTAGATGATGAGATGTACCTCCCTCTTTGTGGACTCACTTTGTCCACAAAAGAACATGGGCTTTGGGGTTATACCTGAATGGAATCCTAATCTTGCTTTGTGAACTTTGGCAAATAATTTAATTTTTCCCTGCCCGTGATTCTTCATATGTAAAATGGAAATAATAACTACCTACTTCTAGAGTAGTTGTGAGGATTAAATTAGCTAGTAAATATGAAGTGTATAGCACAGTTTCTGGTTATCTGGAGCAGGTCAGTAAATTCTGTCTTAGCGAAGAAATATTGTTGGATGCTAGGGGAGAAATTATGCTAATTTGTAAAAATCCATGCATGTCTTTTATATGTCAATATGAGTAATTTTTGCTGACTTAAAGTTATAATTATTCATAAATTAGTTTGAATTAATCAAACTGCAGAGTTCTTACCTGTCAAGGTCTAAAAGTTCCTTAGTCCTCCCCCTCCCCCCAAGCACCCCTCCATTTTATCGCAATTTTTCAAACACAGAAAAGTTGAAAGAATTATAGTGAGGATCCATATATGTACTACCTAGATTCTACAATTAATATATGCTGTATATTTTATCATACCCATCCATCTCTCCATCAGTCCATATATTGTTTTGATTCATCTCAAAGTTGCAGACATCAGTATACTTCACTGTAAGCATTTTAGCGTGTTGTGTATAGCATTAGCTAGAGTTGACTTTTTTTGAAGGGGTGAGAGTAAAATTTATATATAGTGAAATGGATGTCTTAAGTGTGCTATTTATAAAGTAGCTTAGTTGTTTAAGGAAACATAAGAAATATTCTCAGAATACTTGTTTTCTTGAGGAGTAGTTTCATTAAGGCTGTTTTGAGAATTTTTATTGTCATGAGTTTTGGGAATATGGAAGTGCACTTAAGACTAAAACACTAAAATGACTTTCAGAAAGAACTTGCTTTGCAGTGATTCCTTTTGGATTCATATCTCACGTTCTCTTTTCCTCTACTCAGTTAATTGGAACTAGTGCAGTAATGGTAAAAAATAAATCAGGAACGAATTGGAGACACAATATATAAATATAATATAATTTTAGAGTCACATGCATATTTTTAGTTGTTATATGTTTATATATGTGCACTACAGATTTTTTCCTCATTCATTGGAATTCCAGACAGTAAGTACAAAAATTTCTTAGAGTAGAGCATACAGATCCCTTCTGTGATATCTCTGTTTTTTCCTTGGGAGACAGTAAAAATTAAATAAGCAACATCATTTTAAAAGACTGAAAATACCTTGCCAGAAATGCAATGTCTTTGCATCCTCCAAATTAGTAGTGGTTAATAGTAGCAATTTCATTTCAGATGGATAGAACCTAACTCACATCAGGGGGAAAATACATTTGTTTTTGAGAAGTTTTTACTGTTGCCTGCATTTACCTATTGGTTGTCTCCTCTTGCCACCCCCCTTCCTTGTCGCTTTTTTTCTTGAAGAGTGGATCTTGACCTCAAATATAGCATTTGTATCACTAAAAATGCCATAAGTATATGGCCATCAGAATGTTCTATTAACAGTAGGCTTCTGTTCAGAAATTGAAGAGTTTGTAGCAGAGTTCCTTAGGAAGATTTAGTAATGCTGAATGATTAAAGAAACTAGTTTTTAGAGCATGTGGTTCTGACGTTACTTAGTGTTTGGGACTTAAGAAGTTTATCGTGGGATAATAGAGATGGTAGTTTTTATCCCAGCTCCAATTCAGTGAGAGAAAACCTCTGGTTTCATCCAGTTATTTACAAAAGAAGTATTAGTTTTCTGAAGAATAAGTGGATGTTTCATAAAGCCACTTAACCACTTTTCAGTATTCTATATCCTCATGTTCATATATATGTGTTATTGCTGTTTTGAGTACTTCTATTCCAATAATGACTTGCATTTTAACTAAAACTTCCAAAAAGCAGTGTAGGTATAAGAAAACCATGGTTAATATCATGTGAGTTATTTCGCCTACACATATGTACTATTTGTTTTGAAACATTTTGAATTATGTCAGTACTACTAATGACCAAAGATAAAGGGAGATATTGAAGATCTGGAATGGGAACAATTTATTTTAGACTACTGGGCAAATGATGTTTTGTTCAGTCACGTTTTTAGTGCTATTTTTTCTCCCCTCACATTGAGGCCTGAGCACATTAGGCTTTATGAAAAGGCAAAAAGAGGGGCGCCTAGGTGGCTCAGATGGTTAAGCGTCTGCCTTCAGCTCAGGTCGTGAGCCCAAGGTCCTGGGATCCAGCCCCACAGCGGGCTCCCAGCTCAGCAGGAAGTCTGCTGCTCCCTCTGCCTCTGCCACTCTCCCCTGCTCATGCTCTCTCATTCTCTGTCTCTCTCTCAAATGAATAAATAAAATCTTTAAAAAAAAAAAGAAAAGGCAAAAAGAATTAATGGGGGTTGGGTTTCAATTAAGAATAATCTGGGGGCGCCTGGGTGGCTCAGATGGTTAAGCATCTGCCTTCCGCTCAGGTCATGATCCCAGGGTCCTGGGATCGAGTCCCACATCAGACTCCTGGCTCAGCGGGGAGCCTGCTTCTTCCTCTCCCTCTGCCTCTCCCCCTGCTCATGCTCTCTCTATCTCTGTGTCTCAAATGAATAAATAAAAAATCTTAAAAAAAAAAAAAAATAATCTGCCTCATGGATTTCCAAATTCTTAATAATGAAGAAAATAAATTGAACATGCAACAGTACCTTGCTTTATGAGTTCCTAAAAAGTTGATTGGAAATCATTTTATATATGAAAATACCAGAAGTCATTATAGTTTTGAGAACTTCTGATAAATTATTTGGTAAGACAACTTTTTCAGCTTATTTATTTTGCAAATCCTAATAACTCTTGTATCTTAGGGGTTGTTTAGTATAGGCACAACTTAATTATCGACTGAGGATTCAGGGAACAAAATCTTCCTGGGATCTGTCAAATAGTTCTCTAGTTGAAACAATTAGGTTTTGGTGAAGCATGCTAGTTACTTTTAACTTCCTGATTGGTATAACCCACCTTTAATATAAAGTATGACTTTTTTTTTTTTATCATGTTTTCACTTCATCAGAGATTTAAACCAAAATTCCAAAAAAGTAATCATTGTGAATATGGGTGCTCTCCAACATGGGAAAAAAATACCCATCTTCTTGAGTTGGATAAGTAATGGATAATTTTAGTGTTATATGAATGAAATGTGTTGTCCTACAGCATTTAGTTCCTTGTAATCTATTTTTTAAGTAAACTTTATTTTTTAGACCAGTTTTAGATTCACACACACAATTGTGACGATAGTACAAAGAACTGTTTGTCCTTGCATCCAGTTTCCCCTGTTATTAACATTTTACATTGGTCTGGTACATTTGTTACAGTTAATTAACCAATATTGATATGTTGTTGTTATTATTATTATTATTGTTTGATGGTACCTAATTCATTTTTAAGATTGCTAAATTACTCCTTTAAGTTACAGTGCTCCATAGCTTAACTGATGTATTTTCCTATATATTGCTGTCAGCTATCCATTTTAAACTGCCTTTTTCTTTTTCCAGTAGGAAATCCATGAAGTCTAGAAGTAGAAGTCCCGCATATTCAAGACACTCATCTTCTCATAGTAAAAAGAAGAGATCCGGGTCACGCAGTCGACATTCCAGCATCTCACCTGTCAGGCTTCCATTGAATTCCAGCTTGGGAGCTGAACTCAGTAGGAAAAAGAAGGAAAGAGCAGCTGCTGCTGCTGCAGCAAAAATGGATGGAAAGGAATCCAAGGGTTCACCTATATTTTTGCCTAGGAAAGAGAACAGTTTAGTAGAGGCTAAGGATTCAGGCTTGGAGTCTAAAAAGTTAACCAGAGGTGTAAAATTGGAAAAATCTGCCCCAGATACTGAACTGGTGAATGTACCACATCTAAATACAGAAGTCAAAAATTCTTTAGATACAGGGAAAGTAAAGTTGGATGAGAACTCTGAGAAGCATCCTATTAAAGATTTGAAAGCACAGGGATCAAGAGACTCTAAACCCATAGCATTGAAAGAGGAGATTGTTACTCCAAAAGAGGCAGAGACATCAGAAAAGGAGACCCCTCCACCTGTCCCCACAGTTACTTCTCCTCCACCTCCTTTACCAACTACTACCCCTCCACCTCAAACACCCCCTTTGCCACCTTTGCCTCCACTACCAGCTGTTCCACAGCAACCTCCTCTGCCTCCTCCCCAACCAGCATTTAGTCAGGTTCTTGCTTCTAGTACTTCAACTTTGCCCCCTTCTACTCACCCAAGGACATCTACTTTGTCCTCTCAGGCAAATTCTCAGCCCCTTGCACAGGTTTCTGTGAAGACTCAAGTATCTGTAACAGCTGCTATTCCACACCTAAAAACTTCAACGTTGCCTCCTCTGCCCCTCCCACCCTTACTACCAGGAGACGATGACATGGATAGGTAAGTCCTGTAGTTAACTGGGAAAACTTTACCCTCTTGATGTACATGTAATGCATTTTCTCTTCTCATACTGTCAAAACTACTCTAATACATGGCTGTTTAAAATGCTTTTATGAGTAGGAAATGCTTTTGGTATTTGGTTTTCAGTGGACAAGTTCTGATTTATAACATTATTACTTGGGAGAAAATTACAAATTGAGGCCTAGTAACCCTTTTTGTTCATAAGTTTATTTGATAAAGCTAACTTTTGGTTCAAGTTTTTAAAAATCAATGGTGCTTTTCTCCCTAAAGTTTTATGTTGAAAAATTCTTTTTTTCCTTTTTGTTTTTAGACTTTTTCTTTTTTTAAGATTTTATTTATTTGAGAGAGAGAAAGCACAAATAGCAGAGGGGCAGAGCGAGAGGGAAAAGCAGACTCTCTGCTGAGCAGGGAGTTCACTGTGGGCCTGAATCCCAGGACCCTAGGATCATGGTCTGAGCCAAAGGCAGCCGCTTAACTGACCAAGCCAGCCAGGCGCCCCAAGATTTTTTTTTATTTTTAAGTAATCCCTACACCCAGTGTGCGGCTCAAACCCGTGACCCTGAGATCAAGAGTTGTATGCTCCACTAACTGAGTCAGCCAGGCACCCCATGTTGAAAATTTTAATAGCCATAGAAAAATGAAAGAATAATATAATTAACTTCTTTATACTCTTCACCAAGTTTTACCAGTTAACTTTTTGCCACATTTGCTTTTACTTTATATATCATGACACTTTACTTCCGAATACTTTTTTTTTTTTTTTTAAGGATTTTATTTACTTGGCAGAGAGAGAGACAGCGAGAGCAGGAACACAAGCAGCGGGAGAGGGAGAGGGAGAGGGAGAAGCAGGCTTCCTGGCTAGCAGGGAGCCCGATGTGGGGCTCGATCCCAGGACCCTGGGATCATGACCTGAGCTGAAGGCAGATGCTTAACGACTGAGCCACCCAGGCACCCC